CAACTTCTGGAGGCAAGCTATTCCACTCATTAATTGTTCTAACTGTGAGGAAATTTCTCCTCAGTTCTAGGTTACTTTTCTCCTTGATTGGTTTCCACACATTGCTTCTTGTTCCATCCTCAGGTGCCTTGGAGAATAGTTTGACTCCCTCTTCTTTGTGGCAAACCCTGAGATATTGGAACACTGCTATCATGTCTCCCCTAGTCCTTCTTTTCATTAGACTAGACATATTCAGTTCCTGCAACCGTTCTTCATATGCTTTAGCCTCCAGTCCCCTAATCATCTTTGTTGCTCTTCTCGGCACTCTTTCTAGAGTCTCTCCTCTCTTCCCTTTTGAAAATGAGTGAGGGAGAATGGAGAAAAACAGATTTGTTTGTCAAGTGTGAGAAACCAGGAGCCAGGATAGAGTTCAAAAGCACACTGAGTTTATTCCATACACAAGAATCTGATCTACTCAAGGCAAATTGATGCCAGATAAGAGTCAACAAACTTCAAGGGGAAGAGGGGATACACTTTTTTTTTGGGGGGGGGTGTCTAGGGACTCCAGACTGATGATGCATTTGGCCCATCCCTTAAAGTCAGCATGGTCATCTCCTACATTGTGGGGAGGGGTCAGCAACCCGCAGCTCTGGAGCTGCATGTGGCTCTTTCATCCCTCTGCTGTGGCCCGCTGTCGCCAGTCAGCTCCACAATTTATAGGACTTTCAGTTAGGACAGGTAGAGAAAAAAGGGACGCTGCACTAGGAGGAAACTATGGTGGGGGAACCAGACTTCCAGTCGGCTCCAGAATTGAACGGGGGGCTTCCGGTTTAAGACCTTTGTGGCTCTTTAAGTGTTTAAGTTTGCCAATCGCTGGGATAGGTGATATGTGAGTTGGAGATCTGTCCAAATCTATATAAACTGACAGCACTTCTCTTTAACCAGAAGTGACATCCAGGCCTCCCCAAACATTCTTGTAAAATATGATGATGGTCAACTAAGCTTTAAATAGGCCAGATGAAACATAAAGGTTCTCTTTGTGAACTGTAAATTTATAAAGTGTACATTTTGGCTGTAATTGCATAATGTTCTTGATTACATCAATTATGCTGTATGTATTGTGTTTATACATTGTGTAAAGTTGGGTGGGAATGACGTGTTTGCTTGTTTTCTGCTTACTGTATTATTTGACTCTGCCACATAGGTTAGTAACCAGATTAGTAACCAGATTAAGCATGTGCATGAAGATATTCTGTCAAAATGTAATTTACTCCAATCATATCCATGTGTTAATTTACTGCTGAGTTGAATCTGCCTCGCCTAATCATCTTACTGATATTCAAGTTGAGGAAGGCCAGTTTCGACTGTCAAAGGAACACAGGATTTTTGTCCACTTATTCCACAAAAACTGCACAATGGAAAAACAAGAATGGAATAGAATGGCCCTCTGGTGCTTAGGAAGATGTTTCTTCTCACATGGGATTACCTAGGAGGACTAAAGCTTTCTACTTGTTCTGAAGACAAAGAATAAAATGACTTGGATTTGGTTCTCCCATATTCCCCTAAGAAGGTCTCCACAAGCTGTACAAACTTAAAATGAAAAACCAAGAGTGAGCTTTCACCCAGGCACTGGACTGGCATTAATCTTTTGCAGAATGTTCTTGAATCAAAACTTCTAGGCATCTGAAGTTCTAAATTCATGAATTCTGGACAGTCGTTAAACATTACTACAATGGATTTTTGGATTTTTTTTATTTCTTAAATCAGAAGCAACCTGCACAACCAGTACCAACATTCTATTCTGCTTCCAGGGTGGGATAAGACAAAGCCAGATTCATTGAGCCGTGGTGGCGCAATGGTTAGAGTGCAGTACTGCAGGCTGCTTCTGCTGGCTACCTGCAATTTGGCAGTTCGAATCTCACCAGGCTCAAGATTGACTCAGCCTTCTATCCTTCCAAGGTGGGTAAAATGAGGACCCAAATTGTTGGGGGCAATAGGCTGACTCTGTAAACTGCTTAGAGAGGTCTGTAAAGCACTGTGAAACGGTATATAAATCTAAGTCCTATTGGTATTGCTGTTACCTAGTTTGGGTACTGAAATGCTTGTAAAAAAACAACCAAGCTCAGAGACCACCAAGGACCCTGCAGTAATTGCTCTCTGCTGACCTATAGAAGGGGTACTTTTGTTTCCATCACAACTGAAAGACGGCTAAGTTAGAACAAGGAAGATTTAGGATCTAACCTCAGATATACTGGCAGAGACAAAGTGACTGTCATTCAGTGTGAATCTTCAGTCATTGACATTTTCCTAAGGGATTGGAAAGGATTATTGACCAAAATTCTGGGAGCTGCTACCTAACAATACTGAAGTGATCTACAGATCAACAGAGTTGGAAGGGACCATGTAGGCCATCCCCCATCCAAACAGGAGACTCTACACCATTCCTGACAAATGGCAGTCCAGTCTCTTCTTGAAAGCTTCCAGTGATGAAGCTCCCACAACTTCCGAAGGCAACTTCTGTTCCATTGGTTGATTGTTCTCACTGTCAGAAAATTTCTCCTTATTTCTACATTGAATCGCTCCTTGACCAGTTTCCATCCATTGTTCCTTCTCTGGCCTTCAGGTGCTTTGGAAAATAGCCTGACCCCTTCCTCTCTGTGGCAGCCTCTCCAATATTGGAACATTGCTAGGTTGCCTCCCCTGATCCTATTCTATTCTATTTGACTCAACATCTATTTGACTCAACATCTATTTGACTCAACA